CTCTCTCTCTCTCTCTCTCTCTCTCTCTCTCTCTCTCTCTCTCTCCTCTCTCTCTCTCTCTCTCTCTCTCTCTCTCTCTCTCTCTCTCTCCTCTCTCTCTCTCTCTCTCTCTCTCTCTCTCTCTCTCTCCTCTCTCTCTCTCTCTCTCTCTCTCTCTCTCTCTCTCTCTCTCTCTCTCTCTCTCTCTCTCTCTCTCTCTCTCTCTCTCTCTCTCTCTCTCTCTCTCTCTCTCTCTCTCTCTCCTCTCTCTCTCTCTCTCTCTCTCCTCTCTCTCTCTCTCTCTCTCTCTCTCTCTCTCTCTCTCTCTCTCTCCTCTCTCTCTCTCTCTCTCTCTCTCTCTCTCTCTCTCTCTCTCTCTCTCTCCATTTCTACATATTTTTAACAACATAAAAGTTAATACAAAATGTTGTGATTTTGTACCGTGTAATGGTAGCAATGCTGGACCTGCGTTTTCGAGATTCGAGACCAGTAGGCGGAAAACCAAATTTTCCTCACTATCTTGGCAAACAATATTGTCAAACAACAAGGCGGCAGGCAATTCTAGCTCATGAAAGCTGGAAAGCTGAAAAAGTGTTATCATACAAACATTTCATGTTTCAGGTAGATGAATACCTTAACATGATGGAGATGCTTGCAGACATCTTCCAGCAACACGAACCTCACTACCTTTGACCACAATGAACATGTTAAAGCTGTACCTTGACCTTTTTCGATGGCATGAAAGATTGAAATTCATTGGAAAGTCCACTTAACGCTTCTAGCGGTGATAATTCAGTGAAGTCGCTTTTGTCATGCGTGGCGGTATGCGCCGTATGGGTGCGAGCGTAGCTCTTTTAGGGAAAGAATGCTCCAATCAACGGGACGGAAACGACCAGCACGTGTGACAAGTAATGCGCATCTGAGACAACCCAAAATAACACGAAAATCATGTTTCAATAATTTGCTTATCATAGGCATAGGCCGTTGCTTTGGTGCCAGTCTCTACATTTCACCGGTAGCAAATAACATCACTTATCATCACAATGACCGAAAAAATAACGATACGTGTCCTCGTTATTTTAGAGGCGCTTCGCGGAAACAAGAGGCGATTGCGGAAAATTCGCCTTCGTTATGAGCAACAAATGCATTGAGCTCCGTGGTCGAAGGCTCAAAACACGCTGGAAGTCAATCAATACTGAAATCTTGAAACAGCACGGACGAACATTACCGTAGCCTTAGCAAGTGCTGTGTTATCGTATTTGTTTTGACTTGGACAATTACATGCCAATCGTGAGGCCTTTTCAGTGTCAGTGCTGTAAACTGCAGCTGGAATTGGACCATTGTGTGATGAACCTTCGTGAGAACAAGACATGTACCAGTGAGAGGCTGATAACACAGAAATAATGAAGGGATACAATTCTCTTTGAATGAGTGGGCGTTATTCAGCTCATAAAATGTCAGTGCTCAGTTATATCCGCTTTTATTCATTTTTTCTGGATAAAAACTAGAAGAATGTGCAACTGACACAATAAAATGTTGTGAAAGTTACGCTCCAGGCGTCAAGCTTCAAGATATAATTCACATTATGCCAGCTCATACGCATAAATGCACCCTACTTGGACTTGACTACATTAAGTGCTGCTTCACACCACAGCCAAGTATGTGGGCTTTAGCCCAGTTATGAGCCGGTACAGAATCGAATACTGGCCACCACTGGCATTAAAAGTTATCCAAAGAAACTTTTGCGGTTTCCAAAATGCAAAGCGTTTCCCTAAATTTCTTAATAAGCTTCGTATGTTACATGCCTGTTTTCTTTAACTCAATAATGTTGTATTGCCTCGCCGTTGGGCAAATTTCCATTATCCTAAGAATTTTGCAGATTGATGTCACGAGTCTAGTATAGCGCCACGATTGGAAATGATTTAGGAGGTTATTGTTTTTAATGAAAGTTGTACGTTTGCCACTTAAGTGTACCTTGGTTTCGCCTTATATGCATAGATGCCTATATAACCATACTTATCTGACATCTTCCTCGCTATCAACTCTAGACAGCCTGTGACCCTTCCACGTCATGCAATAATGGCTAAAGCTGGCAGTGAATGATCGTCAGTGAACCTATATGTTGTAAATCAGAGCTAAAGAGGTGAAGGCTGGTACTGGAAACTTATGGAACAATGAATGTATGCTGATTGCATTTGTCAACTTTCAAATAAGATTACGCTGCAGCCGTGCTCTCATTCACTATAAGAATCAGGGCCTGTTCGACATAAAGAGCGCATCTCGTTATTCCGACGACCATTATTGGATGCAGTCCCACCAACTCATACGCCTTTGCACCTCATTCAGATCTTGGCCTACAAACGGCATCAAACAATCATCAATGAAATGTATGCTGATGCAGAAATCAGCGGGAATGGCAGAGCCTTTGTGATGTACATATTGGTGATAATAACATATTTGGTCCTCAATTCCTGCCTTTTTTGTCACCCATGCAGGTAAAGAACTATGAATGCTCAACTCACATTCAGATGCAGCAGAAGTGATGCTAGAGGTTTGAAACATTGACACACGATAATTATATTTCGGCAAAAACAGATGAGAACATCAGTCATTATACAAGAAAACATCACATGAGGTGTTACTATCACCACATTGAGATTTGTGTACTTATTTTCATCACAGGTCGCATGGCATGCAAATTTTCAGGAAACATGAGGCTCCAGCACTGATAGTTGTGGATGGTGCAAAATGTTGCAATATCGTGCACATGATGAGCCTGCGTGAGCATTGCCACAGAGACGTTTTGGAAATAAAGCTAAGAAGGTTTGTTTCTAAACCTCTGGAAATAGGTAAGCAGCCTACTGCCAACGGTAGAATAACTGGCCACGCTGTCATTGACAACCAATCAAGATTGTCTTAATTGCCTTGGAAGATAGGCAGTTGCATGGTAAACTGCCACAGTTTGGCATTCTTACGTAATTCATTTTGTCTGAAACCTTGGAAAGAATCTGGAAGAGAACTGGAATGAATGCAATTCCAATTAATTCTAAATGCTCATGTGGCTGTCAAGTGTCCCTGATTCATTTTCTAAAAGTGTACTCAGTTGGCATTGCAATCAATTATTAATCAGTTATGATCAAGAATTGAGGGCAAAAAGGCAAAAAAAGGCAAAAATGTTATCCTCAAAATGGCCTTCATCAGCGTTCACAAAAGTGCTGACGCACAAAACGGACGTCGCTTGACCGTAAACTGGGGGTCTGCCGGGCTATGAGCAGTTTTTTCATGCGTTGCTGTGACAGCGGCCAGACAGGTAAGCCAAGGCCATATAGAAATAAACAAATGTAATGCATTGGTTCACATGTGGCATGGCGCGTTGCCAAAATTAGGTTGAGTTACCAATATTTCTACAAGTAATAGTGAGCATGCATGCCAACTATGCTTCACGAACCAAGTGGAACAAACTGAGTTCTGCAGTTAGTTCCTTGCCAGTGACCAGTAATGGCTATCTACCTAACAAGTAACTTGGAAATGATGTTGAAATTCCTAGAAGGCTAACACTTAGACAGTGCAAACACAGCTTTCACATATATGCTAGGTCAAGCATGTTTTGAAGAACGGCGAAATGCGGCAAGAGCTTCGAGAAGTGGGTATACTTGACTGGCCAATAGCATATAGCTCGTAAATATATAGAAAGAGATTCAACACTCTAACACGACCCCCTAAAGCAAAAACAATCTAGGAGGGGCGCATTCAGCCGGGATAAAGTTATAAAAAAATAGACATACCTCGGATATCATCTACGTAGTTTTTTCATTCAAGTTCGGTGCGTTTTGAGATTATTCACTAGTTTCTTGCGGGCGCGCCATTCATAGTAAACGGCCATAGCTACGCATGGCGAAGGCAAGGTTCTCTGTCTTGATCAAGCGCTTAAAATTATCCAAAATTTGCCATCGGCCTGGAAAATTATCTGCGATAACCATCCGTGTTCGTAGTGCCAAATGACATTCCGGAAAATCAAACACTCTGGATAATTGATTAGTTGCATTAGCTCCATGATCAGCTGCCAGCCGAGCGTCGCGGGCATTTTATACTCGGTGTGAGCAAATGCGTTCCGGATGGAATAATTGTTCAAACTATTTCCCTCATCTGGTGTGTTAGATTAAACAAACAAATACACTAGACAAGGACGATACTCGGAAGAGATATTATATCCGTGATAGTGATGCCTTTTCTCAATCTTGCCTCAACTTTGTAAACAAATGCGTGTTTGCACAATGGCCGCAGTCAGGGTGTTCCAAACTTGCTGTCAGTGATAACGAGCTCCCTTATTGGAAGACCATTTGCAGACACCAACGATACGCTCGAGATAGAGGCAGAGAATAAGTGGTGAATAATGTTTTGGGGTCACCCGAAAACTTTGTCTGCCAGCAACAACTTGGAACACTTGAAATGTTTGGTCAATGGAAGTGCATTTACAGGGACGAAAGACACCAATCGATGTAAATGGAAGGTCTCTGCAAGCCTACGTGCACAATACAAACTCCCAGTTCGACCAGGCACACTCCTTTCAAACGTATGACAAGAGTGGGAGATCTCCCCAGCCCACGCACGTCACGTGAAAGTTCAGCGTTAACCCGATACTGGTGCATGTAAAGCAGTGACGTTAAAAGAGGCTTGGCCCAACCATTGCCATGATCGATCCTCACTCTGATCCGGCACGTACGAGCTATTGTCACACAAACGACGAGGTTTTCAACGTAACGTATCTGAGTGGTTGGCGGGTCCACATGCACGTGAGGCGCTAGGTAGCTCGCCTTCGGCGGACAAATCCGAGGCTGATTCCAAACCAAAGGACAGCAGATGGTGTTTGGGAGGGCTCGATGGTGCTGTTATTTCAACGAAACCTTTTCAGCGGAAATTCAGCACCACATGTGTTAAAAGAGACCAGGTATCATGAAGGTGATTTTGTGAGTGCAGTAGGCTATTTTGGAAGCAATCAATTTCAGCCTGTTTCCACCGAAATGTTCACGTTTAAATGTGAGTCTAACAGCTTCTTAGACAAATGATGTTCTGTACGGCGCTCTTGAACTGAAAAATAAACAACTAGTTCCAGTAAATGGTACCCAACCGTTGCCTTCCCTACAATGCCGCATTTGTCACAGACGATATCAATGCAACGGATACTTGCTACGTCACTCACCGGCAGGACAAGAAACATCGCTCAGCGAACGGCACCGTTAGGCAACGCGTGTGTACCTGCCGCCCCGGGACGTCGACGGCGCGGCGCGGCTTGAGGGGCGCGCCAGAACAGCGCCGTTGACAGCCGATACGGCCATCGCACCAAGACCGGTCGCAGCAACCATTACACCGCGCGCCGCAAACGTTGCCAGATAAATCGCTTGCCGGCTGTCGGTGACAAATTGGCCATTAAGCCCTGCGTTAAACACACAAGCCGCCTGCAAAACATGCCGGCGCCTCCTAATCCGCCAGCATTTGTCGGAGCGACGGGCGCGCTGATTGGCCGCACTCGAGGCAAGCTCCGCCCCCGGCCGGCTCCCGGATGACAAAGCGGCCGCTGAGAGGGCCGAGGGTCGCGGGGCCGGCGGCCGGCGGCGCGGCCGGAGGGCACAGTAGCACGGACGGCGGTGGGCTGGGGCGCGGGGCTGGCGCGAGGAGCGTCCCACACGGAGCGAGCGACATGCTGGCCGTCAGGAGAGCGAGGCGCTGCCGGCGCTACCGTCGCCGTTTCGATGGCCAGTATCCTGGCGCAGCGGTCGGGCTGCTCGGGCGCCGCGCAGCACTGAACTGGCGGCCGGGGAGACGGAGCGTGAGCGCCAGGAGCGCCGGCGCGCGGACCGCCGCAGTCCCGGCCGAAACGCCGGCCGACGAGGAGCCATCGACCGTCGACACTGAGGACGCCGAGATAGGTGAGTGGGCGCGGGCGGCCCTGCGAGGCCCTGCGATCCAACAGCAGTCCACTGCCTACGAGGCGGGACGTTAGACGGACCGACTGCAGGAAGAGCGAGCTGTACGTGCGCACAGAGTGCTCCGATGTGATGAGGACAAGGTCTCATTTCAGCTGTTTAGATAGACCCGGGACTGGGCAGTAGATCGAGTGATTCACGCGCAATAATCCAGTATGGGGGGTACAAAGTTCACAATTCACCATCCTTCCTTGAGTCAAGTTAGCTAAGAGCGTAATCCCAAACAATCCCTCCTCTGAATGCTCGAAAGATAAGACACGCACTGTGTCTTCCGTAAAAAATCTGCTTCTGAGTTCTGTGAGCGGAGGTGCGGAAAAGTTATGTTTGCACCCCAGATGTGTCAGCCACAGCCAGTACACGCCTACATAGCTGGCGCTTTCATCTTTTCCATTGCGTGGCTCCTGGCATCAGGGCTTGGCTGAGTGCCGTGTTTAATTCAGACAGCTAGCGGATAGAAGTAAACCTGATCCCCAAAGGCGTATCGCCTTGCGCTTTTTCCCGCGCTTGTATTGCTTTGCTAACGCGGTTTGGCTTGGCACCCGATCGGGCCTACGAAGGCCAATCACATAATTGTTGCCCCGATGGTGCCCTGTTTATGAGGAGCGGGAGCAAATGTTTTCAGGCTTTCATTTCCTTGGGGTATAAATTGTTTTTGTCGCAAACGATACTCTTTTCGTTACTTTCCAAACACGTTGACTAAATGTAAGCGACCTTTTACTCCAGATACATACCATACATATTCGGCGCATTATGGACCGCTGCGGTAATCAGACACAACATAGGGGCACAGTATAGCTTGCGAACATCACGTAAGTGTGGACCCAGTTGGGACCAACCTCACGCTTGTTGCGTAAATGATGCCTTGTTTTGATCGAACGGGATGAAATCTTTACAGGCTCGTACTTTCAGGGAGTAAAATTAGCGCCTACTCTTCATCAGTCCTCGAGCTCGTTCAAGTGACTTCTTATTCACATTTCACTCTTACTCGCGCGATAAATTCCTTGCGTATGATTGATTACTGCAGCGACCAGACACCATTTTGGAGTACGAACGTTTAAAAGTGTCGTGATGAAGGAGAAGGAAGGGGCGGGAACCACCCCCGTCTCACATTATTCCATTCCATGAATAGGCTTATATTAGTAGCAGTATATGGTGCTAAGTGATAAATACGAACCTAAGGGGAGGAAGGGAGGGACATAACCCCGCTCTCTTGGTTGCGCCCATGGAGGTTACGACGCTGAGCATCACTGGAGGAGTGGTGGTAGGGGGGGGGGGGACAGGTCACACGACCCGTGAGGGCCAGTATTTGCCGAGATGGGGAGCGGCTCCGTCCAAACAACCACTGCTGGAAAAAAGACAACGAATGATCCGAAAAGTGACAAAGAATGACCATTCATCACTACTTTTATACCCACTCATCCCGTACGCCGTTACCTCGTGCTTAGGACCCCTCATCTCGGAACGTATGACGCCATACTGTCGTACCGTAACAACCGAAATACCAGGCACATGGCACAATACGACCACTCAGAGCAGAGAGTGGGAATGCGCTGTAAGGTGTTCTAATGACCAACGCTAAATCACCTTATCTCGGCCCAGTACATTGGATTGCATCTGCACTTGAACACATTCATTGTGTGCATCGCCACACGAACACTCAGAGGCCGTCACCGGACGCCGCACGGCGCGGTGCTTGGCTGGGCGGGACCTGGCGGCAGCTCGCGGTGTTGACCAACAGGCCACAGTGACTGCCTGACACGACGGCCGCCGACGTCGGGCTGCCAGCGCCCTGCTCAGCAGTTTACCGCAGACGGAGGCGCGCCGTCGGCGGCAGTCTCCGGTCACCTGAGCGGGCAGCGGCCGGCGCTAAGTGGCCGCCGCGCTCGGCCGGGTCGCCGGGTACCCGGCCGCTGGTCGGGCGCGTGCTGAGCCAGCGGCGCGGTCACACGGGAGGAGCGCTGGCGCTGGGTACGGCGCCACTGTCGGCGGGCCCGGCCTTCGGCTGCAGCCAACGCGCCGATCGCCGTGTGCCACAGCGGTGGAGGGGCGCACCACTGCCGGCGTATGGACAGTGGAGGGGTGCACCACTGCCGATGTATCGACAGTGGAGGGGCACACCACTGCTGATGTATGGACAGTGGAGGGGTGCAGCGTTGCCGATGTATGGACAGTAGAGGGGTGCAGCGCTGCCGATGTATGGACAATGGCGGGGCGCACCACTGCCGATGTATGGACAATGGCGGGGCGCAGCGCTGACGATGTGTGGACGATTCACTTGGCTAAAGTTAATTGCCTTGCACTGCAGGGCATCATGAGGGATTTATAGGGTTTGTCGCAATCATACAGACTGCTAGGTAGAGCGGGACTGGTTATTTTTTTGGAACGAGTGGAAGACGTACAGGGACGAGGGAGGCTAGCGCTGGGTAGCGACTCGGCGTCCTGTCGCGCACACAAAATGTGAGTCACAATGAACCGCAAACGGACAAAAAGACCACTTTGCATCCGGTGCTTGCTGAACATCTGCTGGGGCGTCAACCCCAAGCCATCTGTCAGCGCTCCCTGACGTACATTTTTCATGGATACCCTGTCCCAGGATACCTCTTTTGTCCGTCTGGACCAATGATGAGCCACATCGTCATTTTCCCCGCCCTAAAAACATGGTTAGGGAGCTAATACGCCTGCCTTTTCAGTCTTATCGGGAATGGCGTCCATACCCCGTTGTTCTCCCTTTTCTCGCTGCTTCGGTACTTCCTAAGAACGTGGGTCCGGGAAGCAGCAGCTCCCAACAGTTTGTCATGCGTTCTGCATCCGGGAAGAATGCTGCATCACATCCTGCAACTGTGCACTTGCAACATTTAGCTGAAGCCAGATATCTGCAACTCACCTTCATTTGCGAGAGATGTACTGAAATGAAAAAAATACGCCCGAAAAACCTAATGCACAGGGTCGACCAAATCGCGTCCCTGTACAGTGCCGTTTTAGAGGGTGGTGAACAAAAGTCGATGGACGTAAAACAGAAAATGGCCAAATCTCGTTATAAATCACATTTGAAAGCAGGCAAGGTTAGCAATTAGGTGCCCCACAGAATAAATTTGTTGGATTTTTAAGGGCAGACTTTTTTCTGCTTCCGCAAACAAAAAATCATAATCTTTCGCATGGTTTATTGACAGACGGTCATCCGACCCACCCACATCATGTACATATTAATCATACCCACCAACCTACAAGATTAGAATGTGATTTTTGAGGGGCGGAATTGCGATGCCAAACACTTCCTTATTAGCTGCGCTAAGTCCGTACCAAACCTACGTCCAGCAGGATAATTTAACGTGGTGAGGTGGTGAAACTGGAATGGCTTAATTTGCCAGTATTGAGCCACACCTTGAACAGAAAACTGGCTTACTAGAGATTTAATCAGGTAACAATGGCAGTAAAAATAATTGTCTTCCTTCACGTCATCTCCTTTATCTCCTATGAATTGTTCACTCTTGGGTGCGTGTCAAACATGTTTGGGCGGCTGGCGAATTAATCTAATATATGTGTGAAATATGTGCAATTTGCAGTTAGAAAATTCTGCGGAAAAATTAGTTTACATTTAGGCCATAAATGTCATCTTACAAGCTTATCAAACACGAAGGAAAAATGAATGTATACCACATCTGTATGAGACCAGGAGGAACAAAAAATAGGTAAATAAGCTCAAAGAGTTGTGGTTTTTGTTAGAAATTTTAATCAACTTATTGGACTACAAATCGAAAATGGTGCTTAAACAGTAATATTTAGCTTTTAGATTTCATTCTGAAAACCTTCTTGAATTTTTCACTCCTGCATTTTGGGAGTGGTGGTTCTTTTCCCAAACTAAAGGCATTGCAGCTACCCGTAGATTGCCAAAATTCGGATCAAGGGGTCCTTAATTCAGAAAACCCAGCAATGTGTTAAAAGTGTCCCATCTTTGTGGCATGTTTCAAGAACATACTCTATTGAAACCTCAGGACTAGTTATGTCTAATAATAGCGCTGGGTGGTGCCACTGCACCACCAAGACATAACAAGAATATGGACTTTGATGGCTTTCGGGTCCAAATTACGCTGTCAACGTTTTGTACAAGCACTACATTTCTTCCCTGCAGTCGCGACCACCGTCGTCATGACAACAACCGCGCGCGCCTCTACTGGTGCGAATGAAGGAATGTTTCTGGTTTGCCCATCGTGCAAGGGCCTGTTACAGAGAAGTTGATTGGTTCCAGGTTGAACTAGTGCGTCACATGGACCATGTCATGCTCCCATTCCCAAAGCCAGAGTGCACCTCGAAAAGGGCCACCGTGTAAACGACAAAGGGTTAGAAATCAAGGCCATCGTATAACGTTTCGTGAAATCCGGAGATAAAAGCGTCATATTCGCATGTCTTTTTGAATAACCAGAGTGTTTTAAGCTTTCGTAGCATATGTTACACGAACATTTTGGTACACATCACATCACATCACATCACATCGTTTACAAGTGTTTCTGTGATGTGTGCACACACCACAGAAACACCCGTCGAAAATGCCAGGCAAATGGAGGGCATTACCTTCATGGTGATGAGCAGGGAGTAAAATGAGATTTCTCCCGAAGGGTCGGCTACTTCAAATCACAAATCTGAGCTATGCAGTAGGACGTCGAGAAAACTGGCATTACCTACTGAACAAATCTAATGCGTCTGATGTAACAAGGAGCGAAAAATACAATAAAGGTGGAATACTCCACAAAAAGGACCCCAAAAGACACAAAGAAGCCTCTTTACAGCAAACAGTAAAGGGCCTCCCTAAAAAAGGAGGCCCCTTTGCTGGCTCGGGGTGCTCGTTACGAACTAGAAGGCCTTGTTCTGGGTTAGAAGGCACCATCAATGTTCACAGGAGGCCCTTTTCTGGAACAGGGGGCCCCTTTCCTGCATCAGATGGCCGCGTTTCCAGATTGGGATGGCCTGCTCTGGGATAGCAAGGCCTCTTGGCCAGATTTGGAGGCCCCTTCGCGAGTTGCAAGCATCCCTTTCTGGATAAGAGAGCCTTCCTATGCACCAGCAGGCCCCGTCTGGAAAAGGAGGCTCTGTTTAAGGAAAGCAAGACCCTTGGTTGAACAATCAGAACGCCCCGTTCTGGATTTTCTGCTTGTCAACATCTATTTACTTGGATATGATGCATGTACATGCATGTGCCAATTCGCTCTGGGGGGTCATCGGCTGGCCGCAGGCCGGCCGATGACCCCTGACCCTCCGTGACCCTCAGCGACCTTGTTCGGCAGGTGGAACACCCGGTTCGCTGACTGGGGAGGTAGCCGACGACTGCAGGGAGGAGGAGGCTGGGGACCGCCCGCGCAAGAAGCGCTCAAGAGCGGCCTTCTCCCACGCCCAGGTGTACGAGCTGGAGCGGCGCTTCTCGCACCAAAAGTACCTGTCCGGCCCGGAGCGGGCTGACCTGGCGCAGGCGCTGAAGCTCACCGAAACTCAGGTCAGTGCGGTTAGAAATGGATGTCATTCGATGGACGAAATGGGGTCACGGCTCAGGTACGGGTCGGTGGGGTCGTGGTCTGGGTGTGGGTGGAATGGAATGACCACATCACAGGTTGCAGGCTGTAGGTCTCAGGTCGGGACAAAAGTCGTTTGGGTTAGGGATTTTACTGGACGGCTCACTCAGACGCAGGCACAGGCGACTGGAGTAGGAATGGGACGAGACTAGGTCACGGCTAACTCGAGCAGTAGGTTTGGGTTGGGAGGGAGAGAGTCACAGCTTGTTAGGTGCAGGTCAGTGGGCCAGTCTGGAAACAGACAGTGTGTTTACTAAGTTATACAAATTAGTAACTGCATCAGGCTGGATCGAGAGCACATGTTTGCTTGTGTACGAGCTGGTGGCGTCGTGTGCTAGAGTGCAAGTGGGAGTAATCGTGACGTAAATGCAACCAAAGCATCAGGAATCACCCAGCGCGCAGACAATCGACCACAAACGGGTCTCAAACCGAAATTTAGGCTACCTGGTCAGCGTGTACGTGATAACAAATAGGCGTCCTGAATGTGCTGATTTCTAGCCGGTGAGCCTGAGCAAATGCTGTATTATCTCCGAAATACCTCGGCTAGAAATACAACCATTCATCATGCACACATTCTGTGGATGTATCTGTGCCATGGGTGAAGGGCTGGTATTCAAGATCTTCATTAGTTAGGTAGCAGAGTATCTGACATGCCATAAAAAGGTTTGGAAATCGATTCCCTGATGTTATATCTACATTTTCTGCGCCACCTTTTCGCATGAGCGGCATCATACATCTGTACTTGGCTGTGCGATGTGGTCTGGGGACCAGAGTGCGGAGATAGCGCAATGCCCGTTTAAAAAGGCTTGTTGTTTGCATTCTTACAAGAACGTTGTTTTTACAAAGTATTTGTTGTAAAACTGCATATCAGAACAAGAAAAAGTAACAAGTGTATAAAGTGCAATAAAAAGTAAAAGTAAAGAAGTAAGTGCAGTATCTTCCTTTAGTGCATGGGAAAAAGGATAGTAAAAGCGTTTAGAATACATATGCACTTAGCGCGTGACAAAAATCACTGGGTTACGTTCCCAGCATGACATTTTCCTAAAAGGAACTGAGATGAACTTTCACATATGGCAGAACAAAATGTAAGCGAAACATATTCTTTTGGAACTATGAAAGAGATCTATGAGGCCTGGTACGTCCAAAATCACAATTTTCATTGAATTATTTTCTCAGTAACCATCATAGATATACAATACCACTAGAACGATAGCAGCGATTTGGAGCCACTTGCGAGCATCAAAAATTGACAGGGGCATCAGCTGCAAAATTGTGTAGACACGGTGGTCAACCACGCAAAGCTGTTAGCATCCGTGTCTTTAGAAATACACGGTAACCGCCAACCATTTCACCCCCATATTATGAAGTCAGTCTGCATTTCGAGAGCACAACTGAAATAGCTAGGGTTTTAGGACTTTGACAGCGATCATAAAGTATTGTACCTACCGATGACAGGAATTTGTCACATTCTTATGGAATGGTGTTGTCTGCTTTGAACTCAATCCAGTTCTTCTCTGCAAGTTAAATCATCTCGGGCTCATTGCTTCAGCAAAATTGTCTTGATTAAAGGGAACATCGTCATTTCTGTGATTTGTGTAAACAACCTCACTTGATCAGCCTTCCAAAAATTCACGAATGGAACAGCATTATTTGTTAACACAACATTATAATGTCAATGATTATTTCCCTTGAGTCATTCCTCAATTCCCTGTACTCAAGGGTGAGTCCAAGGGACAACGAGACGGCGCCCGCCCGTCCCTCGACGGTCGCCAAAATCGGGCATAGAATCACACATTTTTTAAGGTGAAGATTTGCGCAAATTTTGCGACAAGAAGTTTGTTTTAGAAGACGCCTTGAGGGAAGGGAGGAAAACTCAATTATTTTTTTTAAAAATCAGAACGCCTTTTTATACTTCGCCCTCACCCCACCCCAACCCACAAGCCGGCATTACCTACCACCAGATGGCGTTCTGGATCTGCCGTTGTATGCACTGTCATGATAGGGATGTAAAGCCGCCGGAACCGGCATGTTTGAATGGAATGCGTTGGCACTGTACTGCTTTGTACTGAGTTAAATGCAAGATGGCCGCCGCCATGCCCACCTGTCCACCGACACAAACGCAGTTCCAAAAGGTATTGGTCGTTGGTCCTGAAGGTGATCGAATATGCAGTCACTGAGCGCTTCCCGGGCGCACCTGCAAAGGGTGCAAGCTAAGCTGAAGTGGAGGTTCCCTGGACTGTAGATAACACGTTCGCGACACTGACCGGCTGACCGGCACAAAAACATGAGGTTCCGGGACAGCCGTATCTAGTGCCACCGAAACCATTTGCATAGCCCATTGTCGTTATTAATGGGATCTGGCTCGCCGACTTGATGACTGTGCCAGAAACTTAGGACCAGTGCCATGGAAACCCTGCTATTGCGAGATCAATGCACTCCGATATCAAACGTGGAGGGTCGAGGATTGCGGCTGATGAAACTTTGCAGAGCGGGCTCGGTAGCGTGGGAGGGCCGGTACTCGGTGGCGTGGGAGGGCCGGTACTCGGTAGCGTGAGCAGGCCGGTATGGTAGCGTGAGCGGGCCGGTAGTCGGTAGCGTGGGAGGGCCGGTTCTCGGTAGCGTGAGCGGGCCGGCACTCGGTAGCGTGAGCGGACCGGCACTCGGTGTTAGCGTGAGCGGGCCGGTACTCGGTAGCGTGAGCGGGCGGTAGTCGGCAGCGTGAGCGGGCCGGTACTCGGTAGCGTGGGAGGGCCGGTACTCGGTTGCGTGGGAGGGCCGTACTCGGTAGCGTGGGAGGGCCGGTACACGGTAGCGTGAGCGCGCCGGTGCGTCCGGCGACAAGCCTACGTGCATCTTACATGAAATTCTGCTGTCATTGAAATGCATTTGTCAGTCGAAGAAGTGCTATCAACGAAAGAAGCACAAGGCTTCTCCAAGTTCTCCTCAGTCATATGGTAGTTTTGGTTTTGGTAGGCGTCCGCTCTGCGTGCTGTGACATTCCTGCACAATGTCTGGCTGTAACATGCACCCGGGTTGCCAGTTTGTGAACTCACTTAGGTTAAAGTTTGAGGTTCCCAGGTCGTGAACTTTGGGTCAAATAAGATCAAAAAAGGTCAGGCTCCAGGATGGTTTTCAAAGTGCCCCAGAACCTAGATACGGTTCTAAGCAAAAGATCACATGCTCATTAAAGGTCAATGACCTTGGTTGACCTTTTGCGACACTCCGTTGTTGCCTCAGATTGAACGATTCCCTGGATATTGACTTCGCTGAATACATGGCCTGACTTTGACCTGCGGCAGGTCAGCGACCTGACAAGGGTGCATCTAATTTTTTGTTATAGTCTACGATTTGCTATTCATGTTTACAGCTATGCAAATTTGGAGCGGCTACGCCGCGCTGTTCGGAAACCATCCCGGAAAAAATCTTCGGGGATGAAATTAACTCGCCTAACCCAACCGCGATTAGCATGAGCTCCAAGTAGGTGAAGGTTACATGTGACGTTTATAATTATGACGGTTTTCGGCTGTAGAATTGTGACCGGAGGTAGCGCTGCAAAGAAGCAATTTTTCCGTTGTTCGAGTTTGATCAGGCTGGCAGGGCTATCTTGGGTTCATAACTGTCTGATTGTTCCTCGGAAAATAAAACGTCAGAGAGCTGCTAGTAGACCTCCCTCAAACCGCAAGATTCTGCGTGACGAAGATGGTCCAGGTATGAAAATAGTATGTCAGCGTAGCATGGATTCCGCACAATATGGGCTCGATGTCGCGCACGATAACGTAAGTTCCTAGTTTCACGAAAGAGTTGGGATGAGTTGTTAGTATTGCGAATTGAATATCGTACTTGTATCACAGAAGTTTGGACTACTGTCCACGTCTGGTGTGCCAATATTTACACAACGTTTTAGCCAGTTAAATCTCCGGCCATCGTTAGGTGTTATTGAGTCCTCAGAAGGGTTCGATGATGATTGGCTTTCAGCCATATATGCATCACAACCCGAAGTCTGTCACTGGAGCTACTGGAATTCGAACCAGGGTCTTCTAATTTTGAGCCCCATGCTCACCGACGGAGATAATCAGGAAGAATAGCTCTGAGATAACCGGGATAAATGTGCCGCCTCCTTCATCTTTCCGCATTACAGGTCGGTGCCATTCATCTCCTGGATATTGGGATCATTCCGCAGAGTTAGTTGCTTATTGTGTTGATGCTTTCGCTTGGCTTACTGATAAAGTTGTTGGCCAACGGTGTGTGCCGCCTCCTTGGTCTTTTTGCTTCGAGAGTTAACGGACCGAAGCGATGTGAACATGCTAACATATCAGACCACAAGATAGTTCGAACAGTTATTCCATCCATGATATAATTTCTTGCTGGGTGGTTTTGAAGGTGCTAGGACGGTAATATATCCAACTGAAGTATGTAACGTATATATTTACACACACAGCTCAATTCAGCGACTTCAAGATAGTTAAGTGAGGATAAATTACATCGCGGTACGCGTATACATACATATATATATATATGTATATATATATATATAAATATATATATATATATATTATATATATATTATATATATATATATTTATATACAAGGTACGATTATTCGAGGGCGAATTTAAGCATTTAGTCTCGACGGTTTTGCAGCATTCTGGCGCAATGCGTGTTCCAACGTTGGTAGTATGGGTTCCATCCTGTCCTTGCACGTTTAGATACTTACAAGAACTGCCTTTATCAGATAAGTTCTGTGCATACATGCGTGTATATCTTCATGTCTTTGGAGTTATTTGGTTCAATTTCTGTTGGGATCCTTGATCTTTGACCAAAACCACAAATATGTGCACTTGGAACCGAAAGCATCCCCTTTGCTTTGTTAATGTCACAAGCGGTGGAAGTCACCAAGCATCTGCGTTATTTAAAAAAATGCAGC